ATCGATTTCTGACAATTATAAGTCAATATTCAATGACAGAGTTGACAGATAACATGTGAGATATTTTCTTAGTACAGATACTTTCTTTCTGACCCGAGATGGGTCCATAATACGTCAGCGATAGTTCGTCTTGAGAACACGAATGTCTGCAAGCAGTTGTGAAACCGTAACTTTTTCCTCAGCAGCAACACGAATAGTTGTTCATCAAATGTTTATCCGGATGGTGTAAGCACTGATCAGATTTTGTTTGTCGAGTATTTATTCCGGATGAATATCAGTTTAGTTCGAGATCTGAGTAAATGCCTTAGTGGTTGTTATAAACTTTAACTGAGTGTAGGATCCGAACTCACGATAAAAAGTTTCATGGATGATTTTACACTTGGAGTCTGCTCGCACCATCCTTATAAATTATTCAGCGCCAGCCATCAGTCATCACGAAAATACTGTCGTTCATTTAAGTTTAATATGTCACAGAACTATTCTCATATTCCTGTATGATCTAAGGAATCAGTTTCGCGTATAAATCACTATAAATCGATGCAATTGACAGCAGTGACATTTCATATTTTTGATATCTGACTGACATTTCAATTTTTCACTTTTGATTCTTCCTTGGTACTTGTGGGAGTGTATGGCCGATTGAAATATCTCCATCGAATTTTTCGATCATCTCTGTATGGATTTGGAGAATTTCAACATTATATGATTCATTACGTATTGGACCAATATTGGATGTTTGTATTTTGAATGAAATCATATTTTCTGCTCTGCAGGATATAAAGCCAAAGTAAGTTTTTTTTTTGAGGTTAACATTTTCAGACTTGTAAGTTTCTTTTTATAACTTCAGAGCTCCTGTCTTGTATATTCAACAAGTACCATTGTGGAAATAACTGACATAGACAATTCACAACATCGGGATTGTTAAAATAACCCTCAGCTACAAAAGAGGTTAGTATTATCTTTGTCAGTCAGCATGATCATTATGCAATCAATTGAAGTGAACTCAGACTAGTATTGTTTATTTTTAGGGTCCTAGTCCTAGTCTTAATTCTAGTCCTACTCCTAGTTCTTGCAATAGGCATAGGCTTCATCCCACTATTAGGACTCTAGTACTACTGTTCATCCTAGTCCCTGGTCATTGTATGTCTGGACCATAGACTCGTGCTGTTTTTTTTTCTACATTGGTTAACAAGAATACCTGCAGTTTTTGCTGTGTCTTCAACAACGAGCAGTCTTCCAGTTGAGGCCTGATTGCCTTGACCAGAGAGAAGAGGGATTCAATCATAAGTAACGCCATAGGAGCTCCACTGAGCATTCAGATAAGTCTGTCACACCATAAAACCTAAGGGAAGGCCTCATATACCTGTATAAATTTTACATTCAATATTAAGCTGTAAGCTATCCCCGTGACGTCACATGAATAGCCCTTCTTAGGACCTTCCCTATATTTGTATCAATTTAATATACAAAACTATATATATCTGAAATCTGAATGCTCCCTTGAATGCCACTTCACTTACATAACTATATATGGTGTTATCATATGATTTGAATAGATAGTTTCAAGGTGTATGACTATTATTTCTTCATTAATCAACCCCAGGGTACTTGTAAATTTTACCAGATATTTGTAAATTATTGACTCTACCGATAGCAGTGGTTTATCCCTTTCATCAGGGTGGTTTCTGATTTTGGCTAGCGAAAAATCAGTGGCGCACCGGAAAATTTACCCCTTTCATTATATACTGTTACTCATATAATTCAAAAATACATGAACCGTACCCACACCCTAACTGAGCAGCTGGGAGGGTTAGTGGCAAGTACTTTATCTTTTGCATGAACCCTGCTTATCAAAACCTTGCCCCTAACAGATTGATGCGCACTAGTAAAGAGTAGGTCACTCAATTCAGTTTTTTTCGCTCTTTTCAGATATCGAACCAGATCTATAAATATCTGATATACCGGGTGTTGTTTTTTGAATATTATGAATGTTTAGTTTTTCCTGAAGACGGACCTGGATTCTGATTTCTATCCCCAATTAGTTCCATTGTGTAACATGGGTGGAATATCCCTACCAAGTATGAATGGATTATACATGGTTATTCAAAAATTATGACCACATGAATATTCTGCCAAAATCAAGATAACGTCCTGTATCTCAGTTATAAAAGACAGTAGACACATTAATAGGGGGTGATTTGGAAACACCAAGGTGCCCTCTATCTACAGGTATCGCATGTACATTCAAATCTGGAACACCCTGTTTACAGAGTACTGGTGATTCGATGCATTTCTTTGGAGATGTGATAGGGGAGGTGGTAAGGAGTTAATTCAACCCTAATTTGTATCATGCAAAAGTCAATAGTTTTTGAGGTATTCGAATTTTTCTGTTTTTCTCCAAAAATCTGCTGTACATTCTCTCAACCTCCCAACTATAATACATCACCAACACTATGGTCTCATTATTTGGAATGACAGTAATCCAGAAATGATTCAGATCATAGATGAATTGTACATTTGAAGTCAAAGTTTTGTTTGTGGATTGCAGATTTAAACACTTTCTAGCGGCCTTTGAGGTAATAGTTATCTAACTGGGTACAAATGAAACTGAAAGTAGTTGATATGGGTTTGTTATATTGAATGATTAGTGAAAACGTACTTGAAATTTTTGTATAAGTATTCACTTTTCACAAATCCTGTTCAAAATGAGAGACTCTATTACAAATACATGCTTGGCAGCGTCTTCTCATTGCCGTCTTTGTTTTTATAGATGTCAAATAATTCCGTATATGCAAGGCAGCATCGGTTTTCCCTTGTATAAGCTCTTCCTGCGTATTTACTGGGGTTGCATAAACTATAGCTTTCATATGACCCCAAACATAGAAATCAGGGGGGGGGGGTAGGTCAGGGCTTCGCGCTGGCCAACCTATTGGACCTGACCTTCCAATCCAACGGTCAGGAAAACGTTTATCCAGGAACTATCGAACGATCAGCCAGTAATACACTAGCCAGCGTTTCTCAACCTTTTTCGGCCACGGACCCCTAGGAAATCTAACGCAATCTTCAGGGACCCCCTCATTAAAATAAACAGCAATAAGTTCTGGACCGTTTATTCAGTATGTACTACAAATACCAAAAAAAAACTTTAATACATAATAAATATTTTTTTTTTTCTAAAAAATATATCAATGTGAAGGTTGATGTTGCTTTTTTGCAACTGAATCAGTTATATTCGGGTTGATGTTACCACTACTGAGTTGTAATCTCAGACTGGATTCCACTTGTAGTCTGTTTCTGTACTTGTTTTTAGTATATACAAGAGCAGAAAATGCCTTCTCTAATAGATATGTGGTTGAGAAAAGCAGTAAATGTTTCAGTGCTTCTTCTGATATTTCCTCATAATCATTTCTCACATTAATCCAAAAACTTGATAAAGACGATTCTTTGAAATTTCGTTTCAAAACTGAATCACAAGAAATTTCTATTAATTAGTTTTCTTGTGCAGTTGTCAAGTCTGTTATATCACTAACATCAGTGTTGAAAGGGTCTATTATCCAATTTTTATTTTCGTTCGGTAATGGAAAATAATTCCGAAACGAAGACTTCAACGCGCGGAGGTGTTTAATGATTTCGTCTTGTACTTCTGTTGGCAACATTGCTCCACCACCAGAGGATTCCAAAAACGCTGACAGCATAGGAAAGTGATTGAAGTTTTTTTGAATTGTACGATTTGTCCAAAGGTCAAGCTTCTTTATCATCGTTTCAATTTTATCTTCAACTTGGAATATGTTGTTATCTCTCCCTTGTAAACCCAAGTTAAGATCGTTAAGGGCACTGAAAATATCAGCTAAATATGCTGCCATTGTGAGCCATCCAAAGTCATCGAAGTGAGCAGCATGTTTATGGACGCTGCTAACAGAATTGTTCAAAAAGAACATTCTTATCTCATCTCTCAGCTCAAAAACACGCGACACAACTTTGCCGCGAGACAACCAACGCACCTCAGCATGCAACAACTGCTTGTGAATGCTTCCCATTTCTTCACAAATGATGCCGAAAATACGGGAATTCAGAGGCCTAGCTTTAATGAAATTCACCACCCGCACTAAGTCGTCTAACACTGCTTTCAATTTTTCTGGCATATTCTTAGCAGCTAATGCCTCCCTATGAATGCAGCAATGATGCCAGATAATAGATGTATTCATTTTCTTCACGTGCGCCTGGAGACCTATTCGTGTACCGGTCATAGCCCCAGCACCGTCGGTGCTGACTGCCACACATTTATCCCACGTTATTTCATTGGTGGACATAAAGTTGTTCAATACTTCAAATATTGCTTCACCTGTAGTGTGTGATGGCAGAGGCATACAGAATAAAAAATCCTCACTAATGCTGTCGTTGTGCTCGTAACGAACATATGCAAGCAAGTTTGCGTCATTGCTAATATCTGTGCTCTCATCTAGTTGCAGACCATAAAATCTGCTCGCTTTAATATTCAGAATCAGCTGCTCTTTAACATTCTTGGACATGTCATCAATTCTCTTCTTCGCTGTGCTGTTCGATAATGATATAACATTCAATTCTTTCGAAGCTTTGTCTCCCAACATAGCCGAAACCCTAATTTTAGCGCACGGTAATATCAATTCTTCAGCAATGGTATGAGGCTTGCCACTTTTTGCAACTAATAAGGATACTTGGTATGATGCTAATACAGCACTTTCGTTATTGGTCCCAGTAGCAGTCTTCATCATTGTTTTTTTGCTTCGTTCCAATTCCGTGGCTTTGATTTTGAAAAAGGCTTTAGATTTTTCACACAGTTCTTGATGTTTTGTTTCTAAATGACGTCGGAGTTTGGCCGGTTTCATTGACTCATTCGACAAAACTTCGTAGCATATGACGCACTGAGGTCTTTCTTCGTCGTTCAAAGTGATACTTGAGAAACCAAAAGCTAAGTATTCGTCGGAAAACTTACGACGTTTAACCTTTGAAGTCGAGGGTCTTTCATTTGCTTCGTCTGAAGCGGATACATTTGGTTTTAACCAGCGTTTCATTGTCGCAATCACTCTATAAACGTTTCCTTATGATTTTCTGCAACGCAAGACTGTACTTGACAAAACAAAACATGCACTTGCACTAATCGGCTAATCGCTGACGGCGAACGCAAAGATCGAGCGCTGGCGGTGTGGTGGGGGGAAAGAGTCACGGCCCACACGGTTCACCAGATTGACGTGTTCAAGTGTGCATTGAATTGATCCGGCCCCGCAACGGTGCCGCAACTTAAAAAATCGGATGTGTACACCGACACTAAGGCCCGATGCACACATCCGATTTTTTAAGTTGCGGCACCGTTGCGGCGCCGTTGCGAGACCGGATCAATTTGATGCACACTTCTCCGGCGTCGTAGCGGAGCCGGATCGATTCAATGCACACTAGCTTGTAAAATACTGCCAGTGTGTGTACGATCGGCGCTCGATAGGTTACGATGGACGACCATCGCAAAAAAATTGTTTTTGTTTACCTTGTGTACAAACAGTACCTTTGCAAGCGAGACAGACGTTATTGGGTACATCCTCACACAGATTTGAGACTTTCCAGGGGTAGATTCCGTACTTCTTTCGCAGATTTACGAGAAAATCCTGATAAGTTTTATAATTACTTCAGAATGTCTGTTAAATCATTTGACGAGCTTGCAGCAAAAATTACAGACAAAATCAAATCTCAAGACACCTGGATGAGAGTTTCCATTCCACCATTGGAAATGCTAGCTGTAACTCTGAGGTAAGTGAAGACGGAAAGTACTTTTTTGTTTAACTGCATTTATTTTTCACGAATATAAACATTATTCTTTATAAAAAAAATACAAACTCTCAACTTTAAGTATTATTTTTACGAAAATAAATTCAAACTCTCATCTTGGTCTTGGCTTGTAGAAGTTGAATCGGTTGGAGACGTTATATTAATAATGGGAAAATCTGGTGAAGATGAGGCAGCAACTGTTCGGAGTTCTGTTATTTGAGAGTAAGGTCTTGGAGGTGAAACTCTGATAGAGAGAGGTGTTTGTTCGAAATGAGATGAAGGTTGAGATGCATGGTTGTAAGAGTAATTAGTGGATGTGGACTGGGGGGGAAATTGGTACGATTTAGAAGATTGCAAGTTGTTGGAAGAGTGAAAAGAAGATTGAGAGAGATAAGGGTTAGAGGGTGCTATTGGATACGTGTGAGATGGAAAGGTCGGTGGATGTATGGTTTGTGTGTTCCTCATACGTTTAATTAGTTTCAGTACTTCACAGCGAAACTCAATTTTTTGGTCTTCGTCAAATTTGCTAATTGAAGGAAGGACACTTTCGAAAAACGATCTGTCTGGATCTGGTTTTGAAGCTGGAGGAGGCGTAGGCGTAGGCTTCGTCATGAAGTCTATCAATGCGGACTCTACGTTTCGTTTTCGTTTCAGTGAACTCCCTTGGTCGTATTTTGGACGTTCTGATTCCTCTGAGTCGACTGTATGTTCAGATTGAGTTTCCGGTTGAGCAACATCTTCATCTTCGTTAGTTCCCTCTAAGCTGGACTGAGTTTCAGTTGTGGCCCCACTAGATCCAAGGAAGGATAACTGCCTAGCATAAATGTATTTTTTGGTTTTGTCAGCAGCCTGTCCAGACTTGGTTTTTTTCTTTAAACTTTTGGTATAGGTATCTTTTATGTTCCTCCACTTTTTAATAAACTTGTTGCCTGAAAAAAAAAGAATATACGTATAATAGATATGAAAATAATCAAAATTTTTTTGAACATGTTGAAAAATTTATACAACGGGTATATATTTTTCCAATATTTTAAATAAACCATTTCTGAACCGTGAGTATATTTTCCTCTTTGTTGCAGATACTTGGGTAGTGGATGCGATCAAATTGATCTGCATTTGACATACAGAATAGGACATACAACAATCGGAAAGATTTTGCGAAAAGTTTGCATGGCGATTTGGGAATGTTTACTACCAGAATCCTTTCCCGAGTTAACGGAAGAACGGTGGAAAACGGTTGCTGAAGGTTTTCAACAATACTGCCAGTTTCCAAATTGCTTGGGAGCTATTGACGGGAAGCATGTCAGACTTAGGAAACCAAAAATGAGCGGGTCTCTCTTTTATAATTATAAGAATTTTTTTTCCATTGTTTTATTGGCAATTGCGGATTCGAATTACAACTTCATTTACATCGATGTTGGAGATTTTGGAAAGGAATCTGACAGCACTATATTTCAACGGTCTTCTTTTTACAGAAAGCTCGAAAATAATACATTGAATATTCCAAGACCACAACCTCTACCAGGTACTGCAACAAGGATGCCTTATACGTTTATTGGCGATGAGGCTTTTTCCCTCTCACCACATATTATGAGGCCATTCAGCGGCAAAGTTTTGTCAGAGAAAAAAAGGGTATTCAATTATAGATTGTCACGTGCCCGACGAAATGTCGAAAGTACCTTTGGCATACTGTCTAATAAATGGAAAATTTTCCAGAAAGCTATAAATGTTAATTTAGATTTGGCCGTTCTGTTCACCAATCATATACTATTTTAGATAATAAGTACCTAGATATAGTTATTAGATGTAATCTTAATTCAAATCTCTATATTTCTATTATTTTGGTCTCATCGTATTGAAGGAATAATAAAGTAAGAGTAATACTATTTCTTTGCGCGACAAACACACAGTTGAGGAAACACAAGAGCCCTCTAGTGGCGGTTTGGTAAAGACAAGCAGTGTGGACTCTCAACACGCCGGAGACGACACGCTATATAACGCTCTCGCTTTATCGCTTTATCGCTTATGTAAAACCGCTTTGGTAATACCCAATATAATAACGCATTACGTGCAGTGCTAATGCTATGTTGCAACCGCGCATGTACCGCTGAACTGCAAGTTAGAAAAGGACTCATCGGAACGACAGAAATTCAGGTGAGTGTTTCTCTCAACTGTCGCTATATACTTTTCTTATAAAAACGCCGCTGATCAAACATTTGGTCACTTCGAGCCACGGATTTCGCTTTTCTTCGATTATTTATTATTCCTTCAATCACATTTCAAAATATTGAAAATACATAAATTGGTATAATATTCCATTAATTTCATTCTTAGTGTGAATATTCGCAAATTCTTCAGTTTTTATCAGAAATATCGCAAATACAGTCCATAAATAGAATCACAAAAAAGGTTCACGTTTTTTGGTACAATTGAGACTTGGATGTCCATTGAATTTATCAATTTGAGAACATAGTCGTCACCAACGATTTCTTCACGGGATCTATTTGTTACTATATTATAGTGCATTATTTAAAATAAGTTGAATCATTTTCATCTCTTCTCGAAGATGTCTAATAACACGAATAAGATTAAACAATTGAAGGCCTTACGTCAGATGAATATTAGTCAAATGTCCGAACTCAGAGGATTTGCAGATAGAGCTTCTGATGACAGAACCGCAAAAATTCAATTTCAATACATGTTTGAACAATATGAAACTATAGTTTCTGATTTTAAAAAGCATCATCAATCAATTGTCAATCTTGGAGCTTTACAAGATGACGAAAATTTGGCAAATGAAGATGGTATCCGCAGAACCTTTGAATTCAGTGCTTCATACGTTTATGCAATTCATTTAACTTTATTCGAGGAGAAGCCTGAAGTCAAAAATAACGACCACACATCATCGCATCAGAAACCGAATGTTAAATTGCCAAAGATTGAAATCCCAAAGTTTTCTGGAGATATAAAACAATTCAAAACATTCAATGATATGTTCACTTCACTAATTCACGAAAATGAAGGTCTTTCTCCTATCGAGAAGTTCAATTACCTTTTGTCATTTTTACAAGGAGAAGCACTAACCCTAGTGCAACGCATTCAACTATCCGCTGACAATTATGAATCTGCCTATGGTTCATTGTTGAAAAAATATGATAACCCGCGTATGATTGCCTTTGCTCATTTACAAGCATTAGATAAAGCACCATTTATTACTAACTCGAGAAATCTCAAAGACTTTCAGAATTTAGGAAACATTTTTTGTGAAAATCTCGCTTGTCTAAAAAATATGGGTTTCAATGTGGAAGATTGGGATTTTTTGCTATTTTACATGTTCAGTAAACATTTGGATGAAGACACGATGACTAGATTTGAGTTCGAAGAATCTAACAGTGCTAACATACCTACTTTCGAATTGCTCATGGATTTTGTTATGAAACAGTGTAAAGCCCTGGAAACTGTCAAATATGCTTCAAATATTATCAAAAGTCCTGTGCTCTAATCCGAATATAAAAATAAATCCACTACGAATGTTTCACCTAACAAAGTGAAATATGCTTCATCATTTTTCAGTCATACCGGTAAATATAATAATTGCATCCTTTGTAAAGGAGATCACTCTATTTATAGATGCAGTCAATTTTCATATAAATCGCCTCAAGAGCGTTTACTAATAGCTAAAAATAATAACTGGTGCACGAATTGTCTCAGTAACAAACATATTTTCAAAAATTGTAATTCATTAAGTACATGTCGCTACTGTAATTTACGTCATCACTCCATTCTACATATAAACAATCATGATAACACAAATACCGATAATCATTTCATTTCCCCTAATAATTCTCGAACACCCGCCTCTGCTTCTGCTAGTACTTCGACTGATCCCATTCCTACTACGACCGCGCAAACTCAATTATTTTCAAATCGAACCGCGAATATTATAAACTCCACGACTACAGCGCCTGCAACACCACAACATGAAAATAATTTCTGTGGTTTCATCTCAGCGTCATCAACTGTTCTCCTATCAACAGCAATGGCAGAAGTGCTAGACATTCATGGGGTTTATCAAAAGGTCCGCTGTTTACTTGACTGTGGTTCACAGACAAGTTATATCTCACAAGCATGCTATGAACGACTTGGTTTATCGCGATTTACTTCTTCACTCGCTATTCAGGGTATAAGTTCAATGCAAGAAGTAACCTCTTCGGGTGGCGTAACTTGTACTTTGAAACCAATAGGCAAAAATGATCCGAAAATTGATATTGACGCGTTTATACTTCCAAGGTTATGTTCAAATATGCCTCGAAACTTAGTTAAATATAATGATTGGTCACATATCTCCGAATTAAAGTTAGCTGATCCAATCTTCAATTTGCCAGGTCCAATTGATTTACTCATTGGGGCTGAAATATTTCCATATATCCTAAAAGATGGTAGGCTAAGTGGGAGTTCCAATCAACCGGTGGCTATAAACACTATATTTGGCTGGGTACTAATGGGTAAATTTTCTGATGAAATTCCTGATAGCTCTCTTACATTTTTCTCAGCTGTAAATGATGATATTTTTTCTTTGGATAGAACTATAAAAAAGTTTTGGGAATTAGAAAAATTGCCAGACTCTATTATTTCGTCTCCTGAAGACAAAAAATGCGAAGAAATATTTTTAAATACTCATACGCGAGATAAATCTGGGAGATATATTGTCCACCTGCCCTTCAAGAATTCACTCCCGATTTTTGATATTGATGATTCACGTTCTATTGCCCTTCGTAGGTTCATATCTCTTGAAAAACGATTATTATCAAATGCTAATGTTTATGTTCAATATACCAATCAAATCAAAGAATATATTGAAAATGGCTATATGAAACTAATTAAAGAAAATACTAAACCTCAGAGCTGCTACTATATTCCGCATCACGCTGTTGCCAAATCTGAAAAAATACGCATAGTATATGACGCCTCGGCAAAAACTTCTCAGGGCCTTTCGTTGAATGACACTTTACTTACTGGACTAAAACTGCAAAATGACATTGTTTCAATCTTATTAAACTTTCGTCTTCGGAAAGTAGTTTTCACTTGTGATATCAAGAGCATGTTTACGCAAATTAAAGTTACCGAAAGTCATCAAAATTTACAGCGCATCTTGTGGAGATTTTCTCCCCAGGAGTCTATCCAAGAATATAAATTATCACGAGTTACATTTGGACTTGCCTGTTCCCCTTTTTTAGCGAATCGAACTATTCGTCAATTAGCAATAGATGAAAAACTAAATTTTCCGCTCGCCTTACCGGTTTTAGAACAAGATATTTACGTGGATGATATTCTCACCGGGGCTTCGTCTGTTGAAGATGCGAAGCTGTTACGCAACCAACTTATTAATATTTTGCAACTTGGAGGTTTTGAGTTGAGAAAATTCACGAGCAATAATCCTGAAATACTAGCAGACTTACCAGAGTCACATTTGCAACTTAATCCATTTTCATTTGACGATAAAAATGCATCTCTAAAAATTTTAGGCCTACAGTGGCAACCGCGCTATGATATATTTTCTTATCACGTTGAAATACTGGATCGCGTTTGCACCAAACGACATATTCTGTCAGATATCGCTCGCATATATGACCCACTTGGGTTTTTGACTCCAATGACTATCTTCACCAAATGCTTTATGCAAATTTTATGGAGTCTTGGACTTGATTGGGATGAAATTACTAATAATGAGATTTCAGAACGCTGGCTAAAATTCAAATCCGAACTTCCACTTATCGCTAACATAAAAATTCCGCGCTTGCTTTTACCTAATACTACAGTTGGTATCGAGCTTCATGGTTTTTGCGATTCGTCACAAAAGGCATACGCTTGCGTTGTATACATGAGGTCCGTGATTGATAAAGAAATAAAAATATTTTTCGTAATTGCCAAATCTAAAGTCGCTCCTCTGAAGTCGGTATCGATACCACGCTTAGAACTAATCGCAGCTACGCTTCTTGCAGATCTAATGTATTTTGTTCTGGATACTTTCAAAAATAAAATAGCTTTTTCCGATATTGTAGCATGGTCCGACTCCTCTATTGCATTGACATGGATAAAATCTCCACCTCATAAATGGCACACATTTATAGGAAACCGAGTAGCTCGTATTCAAGAAAAAATAGCACCTCCTTGTTGGCGACATATTAGCTCACAATATAACCCTGCGGATTGCGCATCTCGTGGACTCATGCCTTCTCAACTTACAGATTTTGCTCTCTGGTGGGCAGGTCCACCATGGTTATCAGAACCAAAAGAATACTGGCCTATTGAAAAATGGATTCCTGTAGATAATGATGTTGTCTCTGCTGAAGAAAAAACTTCCACTTTTATCACAATTATTAAAGAAGATAATTTCATAGAATCTCTTATCGATAAATATTCTAACCTCTCAACGATTTTGCGAATAATCTGCTATGTTAATCGCTTCATATTGAACATTCGGAATCGTAACAGTTCAAAACTGGGAGTACTCGTTAACCACGAAATATCTCGAGCTATGCAATCGTGTGTGAAATTTATTCAAAATACAAGTTTCGATGATATTATTTTTTCTTTGAAAAATAATAGACAAATACCAAAATCGTTTAAAAAATTGAATTGCTTTTTAGATAACGATGATGTTCTGAGAGTAGGCGGACGCATTTCTAAGTCTACTTATTTGTCTTTTGAACAGAAACACCCCGCTTTACTTCCGTGTAATAATCGCTTCACTCACTTGTTGATTGAGTATTTTCATAAAAAATACTTACATCCAGGGAATCAAACATTGCAATATTTGTTGATGCAACAATTTTGGATATTGTCGCCAAGAAGAGCCATTCGACGCGTTATATCTTCTTGTACAAAATGTTGGCGCCTCGACCCCAAAACATATCAACCCCCTATGGGTGATATGCCCAAATTACGAGTCTCACAAATGAAACCCTTTTCGTGCGTAGCTTTAGATTATGCCGGTCCTTTTCTCACTACTTTAGGAAAAACTCGAGGGGCTAAAAGTACCAAGTCATATATTTGTGTTTTCGTATGCTTCGCCACACGAGCTATACATCTTGAATTAGTCTCTGACTTATCGAGTGATGCCTTTTTAGCTGCTCTTCGTAGATTTCTTGCTCGTAGGGGTAAATGTTCTGAGATCAGCTCAGATTGTGGATCAAATTTTATAGGTTCGCATAGAGAGATCATGAAGTTACTAAAAGAGGCCGTCGAAGCTGAATCTATCGAATGGTTTTTCAATCCCCCTTCCAGTCCACATTTCAATGCCTTAGCAGAGGCAGGGGTCAAATCCGTAAAAACTCATTTGAAGCGCGTTGTTGGTGATCAAATACTCACCTTCGAAGAGTTTTATACCATTTTGGTACAAATCGAAGCACTACTGAATTCTCGCCCCATCTGCCCCATAAGCACAGACCCCAATGATTTAGCAGTTCTTACCCCTGGTCACTTTTTGACCCTGGAACCCTTGTCTACCTTACCCGACGCGGATTTAACCCACTTAAAATTAAATCGGCTGAATCGCTGGCAATTGCTACAGCGTATGCAACAAGATTTTTGGGCACGTTGGAAGTCTGAATATTTGCATACGTTGCAGCAACGAAGTAAATGGTTAGAACCCACTTCTCCTGATGTGAAAATTGGCACTATGGTGCTCATAAAAGATGAAAGAACACCTCCGCTGAAATGGAACATGGGCAAAATAATCGAGCTACATCCAGGATCCGATGGGATTTCGCGTGTAGCTACGCTAATTACAAAAAATGGCAGATTGAAGAGACCGTTGGTGAAACTCTGTCCTCTGCCGTTTGCAGATAATGTTTAAAAAATATATATACAAACCTGTTCAATATATTTTTTGGTGGGCAGTATGTTCACCAATCATATACTATTTTAGATAATAAGTACCTAGATATAGTTATTAGATGTAATCTTAATTCAAATCTCTATATTTCTATTATTTTGGTCTCATCGTATTGAAGGAATAATAAAGTAAGAGTAATACTATTTCTTTGCGCGACAAACACACAGTTGAGGAAACACAAGAGCCCTCTAGTGGCGGTTTGGTAAAGACAAGCAGTGTGGACTCTCAACACGCCGGAGACGACACGCTATATAACGCTCTCGCTTTATCGCTTTATCGCTTATGTAAAACCGCTTTGGTAATACCCAATATAATAACGCATTACGTGCAGTGCTAATGCTATGTTGCAACCGCGCATGTACCGCTGAACTGCAAGTTAGAAAAGGACTCATCGGAACGACAGAAATTCAGGTGAGTGTTTCTCTCAACTGTCGCTATATACTTTTCTTATAAAAACGCCGCTGATCAAACACGTTCTTCTTATCAAAATTTGCTGTTCCCTTCATAATTTTGTAAGAGCTAATGATGGAATCAATATTCATGATGCATTGAGTGTGGAAGGTTTCGTTGATATCACCCGATGTAACCATACACAAAGAGGACCGAATCAATCAATTCAAGCTAGAAATGAGCTGGCAAATTATTTCGTTTCTGAGGTTGGCAGCGTTCCTTGGCAAAACAAATATATTTAGGTTGCAAATTTGACTTTTTTACATTATAATGTGTAATATTTTTGTACTATGCTAGTTGAAACCAGTATAATATTATCGATACATTTTGACAATAAATATGAATTGTACTTACAAATTTCGTTTCTTTCCTTGTCATCCTTCTGTTCAAAATTATCGCTGAACAAACAACAGATATTTGTCCATGCTGCTCTCTTCTTCGTTCTATCGTGGTAATTTTCATCGCTCACATTCCATATTTCTGGATATTGTTTAATTTCTTCGATGAAGAACTCAATATCCAATTCTCTCTCCGTCATTGTAGAGTACGAACTCACGTGAAAAACCTGATGTGTGCACCGGTCAATATACAACAGAGTACTGAGAGACCGCAGGTACGTTTGCGATCCGGTTGCGGCCTAGAGGAAAGTGCTAGGTAAAAACGACCGTTCTATCGCCGTTGCGGCGCCGCAACGGGACGGCGGGATGTGTGCATTCTCCCGCTGATACTTTGTACCTCAGACCGCAAGTGCGGCCCCGCAACGGCGCCGCAACTTAAAAAATCGGATGTGTGCATCGGGCCTAAGGCCTACTGTCCACTGAGGCGTCATTTGACGAATGCACGCAAGCTACAGTTGACGACATACGTATTTTGCATCTTCTATACGTCCACGCAATCGTCATACAATCGTCATGCAAGCTACAAAACGGTTTTTAGCATCGCAGAAGCACGTTTTCATTCTCTGTGAAAATGTCATCAAGCGATGATGAAGACGTGATTGCAGCATACAATTTTATTAGACGGCGACGACACAGACGTCGATTGTACTGGCTTCATCCATATATTGGAAGAAACGTTAATTGTAGATTATTTGTTGCGGCAAGAGAGTTATCAGAAGATGATTCCTACTTTCAATCATTTTACAGAATGACTAAAAATACGTACCGAACATTAGTCAATATTGTTGGGCCCTTAATACAAAAACGAAATACTGTTATGCGAGCTTGTGTCAGCCCGGAAGAAAGGATACTTATAACGTTGAGGTAAGTTTTGAACAGTTTGTTTGTATGTGTATAGTATTTATTGGTAGAAAAAAAAAGAAAACAATGTGAAATTGAATAGACGACACTTTATTGATAAAATAACCGTCATCGATTAAACAAATTTCGGTCAGATCACAAATTTTCAAGATTTTGTACTTCTGACAAATCAACAGTACAACTTGTATTTGCAGAATAATTTATTGGAGAGACTGGGTTATGTGAATTAGATCCTACAGAAGAACTTGGCGAATAATTGTCTCTGTATTGTAACTGCTGTGTTGATGAATAATCCCTGTATTGTTCCGAGTGCTGTACTGGTAGATAATTGTCGCTATTATATTGTTGTGGGCGATGTGTTACCGCATAATTGTCCGTGTATGATTGCCTTTGCTGTGGTGCGCCCGACTGAATCTCCTCGAGTAATAATAGCACTTTAATTCTAAACATTCGCATTTGTTCCTCAGATAAACTTTCTAGATCTGATAATAAACTGAGTAAAAACATTTTTCTTGAATTATCCTTCGCTGTTTCTTTTCTTTTCATCCAGTCACAAATGCTTTATCCGCTTCATTGGTAACTTTTCTTATTTTGGGTCGTTTGAATTTGGGCAATACCGATTCAGAAGATGCTTCGCCAGAAGTTGTAGCAGATTCAGCAGGTTCTTCGTTAGGTGAAGAATTTGATATGTTGTCAACCGCTATGTTTTCAGTCTCTTCTTCTGTAAATAAAGGGATATTGCCTGGTTCACCCGTGTGAATAGTTGCTTTTACAAAAGGGAGAGCAAACTGTAATTCATCATGTAGATAGTATAATTTCTTTTGCTTCGTTGATGAACCACTAGGAGTTGGTTTCAGGCTGCGGACAAATCCATTCCTAATATTCCTCCATCTAGTTTGACAGTCGCTCACTGCAAAAAAACATACATATCACTATAGCATACGTCTTTTATTCCAGATACCTATCAGCTGGGTGTAGCTTTCGAGCACTAGGATTTTACTTTGCTCGAGGAGAATGCACAATATCACGAGTTGTAGCAGAAACGACTGAAGTTATATGGAACGCACTCAAAGATACCTTTATGCCTGTTCCAACTACAGATGAATGGAAGGCTATCGCAACCAGATACTACGAACTTTGGAATCTGCCAAATTGCTTAGGATCCGTGGACGGGAAACACATAAGAATTCAAAAGTATCCTAACACAGGATCTGCAAATTACAACTATAAAGGATACCATCCAATTATTTTATCAGGATGTTGCGATGCAGACGGTTACTTTACGGCTATAGAATGTGGATTTGCTGGAAGAAATAGTGATGGTGGTGTCTTTCAAGTGTCAAATTTCGGACAGTGGTTGGGAAGAGATGGCTTAAATATTCCTAATGCAGGCTCACCATTGCCACATGACGAAGATTCTGGGAATATATTTCCATATCATTTTGTTGGGGACAATGCATTTCCCTTAAAAAGATATTTGATGAGACCATATTCTGTAAAACAAATAGACAACACCAGAAGGATATTTAATTACCGATTGAGCCGTGGACGCAAAACAATTGAATGTGTATTTGGTATGATGTCTCAAAAATTTCAAGTTCTTTTAAAACCTATAACATGTCGCAAATATGCTACAATAGTTTCAATAGTAAAATGTATATGTATTTTACATAATTATGTACGTAAACACGAAGGAGTCCGGTATACACTGAATACATTCGGTGAAGCAACACAGATAAACAAACCAATTTTAATACCAAATATGACCTTCGTTGACACACCAAACGGTTTACGTAATTATTTAACAAATTATTTTTTGAGACCGGACTGTGCACTCTCCTGGCAATGGAATTACTGTGTAATTGAATAAATAAATAATATGATCACTCACCAGACATATTGGTTTTTTGTGCCACTTCACTCCACGCTTTTTCCGTGACATCTTTCCTTGAATATTATGCTAATTTATTATTGTACAGACATGGATATTCTTCGATAATTCGAACAAAATTGGCTGCTGAGGCCGCCATTTCGCACGTGTTTGCGTCTCGCCGTACGGTTGAGTAGTGGCAGGCTGCTGCACGAGCTGCATGACGAACGTATGACGATACGCAAATGCGACGAAGCCGCATCGTGGACACAGTGTCGTCCCTTTCTGCGTAAGATGCAAGCAAGCTACAAACAAGTGTAAAATGACGATGTCGTGCGTATGGCTTATAATAGACGAGCGTACAACACGCCGCGTGCCGCACGCTCTGCCCCGCCAGCTTTTGAATACACGTGCATGTTTTTGGCGTGTGAAGTTTCACGAAACGGCAGATACAGTCAGTATCAAAATGGACCCTGTGCAAATTGGTTGTGTTGCAGCATTGTGCATACTGTTGAAAAAACGGAAACGTAGACATCGTCGTTGGTGGGTACATCCACTCATCAGTACTAGACTTCAAACAGGACATTTTCATTTAAAATTTTCGGATCACAGAAAATATCCGGAAAAGTTCTTTTCCTATTATCGCATGTCAATTAAGAGCTTTGACGAGCTGTTGTCACTAACACAAGATAGGTTGAAGAAAAATGATACTGTTATGAGAAGCTCGATAGGCCCAACAGAAAGATTAGTCATTACTTTGAGGTAAGTACAACTTTATTAAAACTTTCCTTCTTATAATTCTTAAAAAATAAAAATAAAATATAATGAACTGAAACTTTATAAAAGTAAACTGAATTGATTAATACAAGTCTATTAGACTACTACTTTCACTCATTTGGGTTTCTTCTGAATTAGTTGAAGGGCTTGCAACATGCTGTCCAGGCGATGGAGTTGGAGCTGCAATGACTGATGGTGGCTGTGTAGTAAATATAGATTGCCGAGAGGTCTGGGGTTGTGAATAATTATAGGTGGCTGGATAAGGTGCTTCCCAAACATTGTTGGAAAACGAGCTGGAATAGGATGTATGATATTGATTTTGAGCTGCATATGATGGCATATTTTGTGTAGAACTAATAATCTGGAATACTTCCATAATTTTACAGCGAATTGCAATTAACTGATTTTGAGGCATATTGTCCATGAGAGGTAACAACGACATTAAAAATGCTTTGTTTCCCATGCGATCTCCAGCCTTGTCTTGTTTTTGTAGAGCTACGCTTTCTGATAAAATATCTGTTATTTCTGAAGATTGTGATATTTCCTTTCGCTTACGTGCTCTTTTTTTGTGTTGGGTTCTGATGAACCAGCCTCCTGTTCTGGGCTATTACCTGGATTATGTTCTGCATTTTCGTCAAGATTCTGTTCTTTAAAGTTTGATGATGTTTGTCAGTTCGTGATGTGTGTTCTCAGGAACAGTAGATGGTCGTAATATATATACTTTTTTTTGGATTTGGCTGCTTGTCCACTCTTTAGTTTAGTTTCCAATGCCACACATTGGCACATTTTTTTTTTCAGATATTTGGCAACAGGTTCAAGTTTTTCTACATTAGAATAAATTGCCTAATTCTGACCCAGACTGATGAACGTTTTCAAAACCTAAGTCTTCGAAAACCTTATCAAGTCCATTCGTATACTTGGGATTGAACGGGATTGGGATTCTTTAAGAGTTCTCCTCATCCACCTGAAAAGTCGTAGCATTTTGAAGTGTTAGCTTAAATTTATGTCTACGTAATCAATGTATCTACTATTTTGATATTGTCGCAACTCAGATGGTCGACCTCCTATGGATCGTAACTTGGCTACTCGCTTGGCTTAATGGGAGGATTTTGATCATTTCACCATCCAACCCTATTCACCCCCAAATAAAGAGACCGGACAGTTTTCATAGAAAAATAACATTTATTAATTGAATGAAAAGTTTTATGAATAGATGCTGCCACATGGCAGGTTAACAAAAAGGAGAAAAAAAGATCAACGCAAAACAACATTGGAAAAAAACAGCATTTACATTATTACGTCTAGCAGGGGGTTGACCAGCAGGCTTGAAGTTGGGAGGACGGCGAACATTTTGATTTTCACTAGAATGACTTGTGTCAATAATGAATTATGAATAATGAATAATGAATCATGAATGAATGCCTCATCGATTCGGGTACTATTTATATTCGGAATCGATGCTAGGTTCGCTATTTTCCACACGGGGAACGGTCGATAGCTTTTCGATACCGCTTACCTAGGTATTATCGCCGCGGTAAGCGATTTCTTTGCAAATTATAAAGGAAATGATGTCTATGAACTCCGCTGGCCTGATCGAACTGCAATGTACTGAATGTTTTGATTTGGAAAAGT